ARMAAATRCTKCCGTTTAAAATGAGGGAACTGAGGGAGGGAGTAACCAACCCACTTTCGAAAAGTAAACACAGTCAGTTTCAAACAAAAGCATCTAACCGTAACTTTCATTTCAGGAATGTCGAGTATTGCCACATCCATCGTCGCGCATACTTCTTTAACACCGTCCATGGCTACTTCAACAGGTTCAGAAAATAGATTGACTTCTCTAGTGTTACCTAGTTCCTTTGCGTCATCTACTGTTGAAGTTAAATATACCGCTATGTCGAGCTACGATGCCGCGAAACCTGATTCATTACATTCTACTGCTCCTATGACAACTTCCCCAACTGCCTTGACATCTTCATCATCTACTGTTTCTCACGAAGTTAGTAGGACTATGAATTCTGAGGCTGCAGCGAAATCCACGACGGAAACCAATCCAACACAGTCTACAGCCAGTATGAAAACGTCAACAACTTTCACTGTGCCTCCGACTTCTTCTTCTTTAATTTTGTCAATTTCCTCAGCTTCATCCACTAATAGCCATGGCTTTACAACAGTTACCTCGACCCATGGTGCTGAGACATCCTCTACAGATACTTTAATAAGGTCAGAATCTTCCTCTATGCCTTTAGCAAGAACTTCTAAATCGTCTTCTCTTACTCCGTCAGTATCGTCAACTTTCTCAACACTCTCGATTTCACCTTCGCCCTCAACATCCTCGATGACCTCAGTGACATCTACCACGGTATCCTCAGCGGCCAGTCCTTCCTTGTTAACAACCTCTTCGACTCCCTCTACAAGCGAATCAGGTAAAGCGATAATATGCCTCTATTCCCCTGATGCTATGCTGAATTTAAGTTTCAATTTGACCGGCTGGAGTTTTTAGCCCAGATGTCTCAAACAACATGTGACCCCCGATTTCTAGAGCAAAAAATTGTTCATTGGCTTAGCGTTTTCACGATTAGCTTATTATTCATATTACAAAAGATGTCAAATTTACGGCTTGATCATCAACTCAAGAGGGATGGCATTCGTCAGTCACAATTAGGTTACGATAAATATATCTTATTAGACGTTTTGTTGTGTAGTATCAATGAGTATTTTTACGAGTTGTGCCGTATTTTGACGAGTCCGTAGGGCGAGTCAAAATACAAATAACGAGTAAAAATACTCAGCGATACTACACAACAAAACGTCCAATAAGTTATTTATTATCCAACACACCAAACTGTTATTTCAGTGCGGGCGAATTTCGCGGATGTTTATATACGGGGAGTGCGTGACAGAAGTATGCAAACCTTAACGGAATTGGCGCGTTGTTGTGCTGCTGTTTCTATTTTGTTCATTGAATGAAGAAATTTTCTGGTCGTCAAGCTGTTTTTCTTCGTACGATTCATCTAATGAACTTGGATCTATACATGCCAGCCATTCTGACTCTTCGTCGTCGGAAATATGATTCAAATTTTCCGCCATTTGTTTTTTTTTTTTTCGTAACTACAATCCAAATCTTCGCTTGCTCGATGCGAGAAAACCTGTTTAACCGGTACTACAATAGAAGAGTACAAATACCGCGTGATATTTGTACTCGTCTCTGGGATTATTTGTACTCGTCTAGGTGTAGTTGGATAATAAAGACTCATATCCAAGTACTTGTGCCTTATTTTGTACGGTCATCAGGAATTGAAATGAAATCTACACTTCGTTTTTCAGCTGGTCCAAAAAGCCATTCGAGCTTAATCTGCAAAAGTGTCACGAATGCTTATTTACTTTCAGCTTCTTCTTTTACATCCACGACCTCTCCAGACTCCACTTCTGTAATTTCACCGACCGCCACTGCGACCGTAGTAGCATCGTCTACTGCTCGGATTGTTTATGCGCCCCCACCGCAAGTTACCAGCGTGAAGTTCAGTAAGACAGCCACAAAAATTCTGATTCAGTTTAATGTAGAGGTGCAATTTGTCAGTGCAGAGGAAACCTGCGACGAGTTCTTTAACAATGCGACAGTAACAACGTTAGGTGGTTATGCCGAGTGTTCCCTGGGCCATACGAAAGAGGTAGAAATAATCCTTGGAGAGGGTGCAACCATAAATGTTGGAGACCCTATAGAGTTTAAGGCTGATGTGTTCAAGGCCCATAATGAAGAGAACGGCAGGTTTCTCAATGGTTCGTCCTCAGTTGATTCACCAGATGTTCATTTAAAACCAGTGCCAATAATCAAAGGTGAGCCATTGGAAGCCCAAGGAATCCAACGTCTGGTAACAAGTGTTTCCACAACTCCATTCAGTGAAAACCAACGTTAATATGTGTATGTGTGTATACCATGTGTATACCATGTGTATACCATGTGTATACCATGTGTATACCATGTGTATACCAAGTGTATACCATGTGCATACCATGTGTATATGGGTATATCATTATTTCTAGCTCCTTCAAATTCAGCGAAACAATGCAATGTTTTTCTTTCAAAAGTGAAAAAAATGTAGGTGTAAGTCACTTAAATGCATTGAGCTGAGTTGAGGTAAAGGTGATTTTCCAGTTCTCTTGGCAAAGGCTGAATAGGTCCTTGCCTTTTCATACGCGTCCGTAATAAGTTTATAAAATTTTCCCAGTATTCGAATAAACTGGTGACAAGAAAGGAAAGTGATGAAAAAAGGACCCAGTTTAGGGATATTACCTTAATAATATTTACATTTCCAGGTGAAGGTTTGTCCACAAAATTAGTCCTCAGGTAGGGGATGCGAACCGGTGGATTGTATCATTCTTGTTATGTCACAATTAATTTAAAAATAAGATATACATAAAGAGGCCAAGAATCAATTTAACTGACGATTCAAACGCTTATTTCCATTTATTTATTTTTTTACTCTTTAACCTCTTAGGTCCCAATGTTCTTTCGTCTTGTGGAAATCTCTCCCTCTCTGGATCTCAGTCTTTTGGAAGCGGTGGCAGGCCACTCATTTTCAAATGGTCCCTGATATCGCCTAATGCTGGAAGTAACGTCACAGCTATAACAGATATCCTCAGTAATCTAAGTTCAAACAGTGACCGTGTTGAAATCCCAGGTTCTCTGGTTGAGTCTAACGAAACGTACTTGTTCAAGCTCGAGGTGGCCAACTTCCTAAACACTTCAGAATTTGAAGAAACTACTCATTCAGTTATAAAAGTGTCTGATCCAGTCCCAGCGCTGACTTTAAGTTCCAGCATCGATCTTAGTGAAGGGAAAATGTTTGTTTCTGAGGAGTTCCATATCAGGGCAACAGTGATTGTAAGTTTATGCCTCTCTCCGTTGATTTTATTTGTAGCCTTCAAATACTATAACAGTAATATTTTGTCAAGTAGTAACCTCTTCGTAACTCTAAATCCAATCTTTCTGTACAATAGACTGGCGGTATTTCGGAAAATTGGTAAAATTCGCCATATTCTTAAAATGGCCCGGTGATGCCCCATGACAATTTGAACAGCTGAAGCTTGAGGCGCCTGATAAACTTACGCATATCTACTCTGTTAAAAAAAAAACAATTGTTTTCATATATTTCTATTAAGAAAATTTCTATTCGGGAAATGAAACCAATCACCTTTATTACTTTTGAGAGAAATTTTCTTTCTAGTACAAATATCTTTCAGCCTAGCGGTGGACAATCCCTAAGGACTTTGGGCTAGGAGGCGTTTAATTT